AGGCGCGCAGAGAGAGGCGCGCAGCGAGAGGCGCGCAGAGAGAGGCGCGCAGAGAGAGACGCGCAGAGAGAGAGAGACGCGCCGCGGAGAGAGAGACGCGCAGAGAGACGCGCAGAGAGAGACGCGCAGAGAGAGACGCGCAGAGAGAGACGCGCGGAGAGACGCGCGGAGAGACGCGCGGGGAGACGCGCGGAGCGACGCGCAGAGAGACGCGCAGAGACGCGCAGAGAGAGACGCGCGTCTCGTTTAGGATATGATAATGAAAAAGACACATGACACCCAACCTCTGTTTTCAAGTTTTTCCTGTCTGGCTTGGGGTTGGGTATGAGAATGCTTTCATTGATATTTCCATCATAACTCCAATGAATGAATGCTGGGACGCGCGGCGAGACGCGCCGCGAGACGCAGGGCGAGACGCACGGGCGAGACGCACGGGCGAGACGCACGGGCGAGACGCACGGGCGAGACGCACGGGCGAGACGCACGGGCGAGACGCACGGGCGAGACGCACGGGCGAGACGCACGGGCGAGACGCACGGGCGAGACGCACGGGCGAGACGCACGGGCGACGGGGCGAGACGCACGGGCGAGACGCACGGGCGAGACGCGCGGGCGAGACGCACGGGCGAGACGCACGGGCGAGACGCACGGGCGAGACGCACGGGCGAGACGCACGGGCGAGACGCACGGGCGAGACGCCCGGGCGAGACGCCCGGGCGAGACGCGCGGCGAGACGCGCGGCGAGACCCGCGGCGAGATGCGCGGAGAGACGCATGGCGAGACGCGCGGCGAGACGCGCGGCGAGACGGGCGGCGAGACGCGCGGCGAGACGCACGGCGAGATGCACGGCGAGATGCACGGCGAGACGCACCGCGAGACGCACGGCGAGACGCATGGCAAGACGCACTGCGAGACGCACGAGGAGACGCACGGCGAGACGCAGCGACACGCAGCGACGCGCAGCGACGCAGAGACGCACGCATGCACGCACGCACGCACACACACACACACGCACACACAAACACAAACACAATCACAAACACACGCACACACACAACACACAACACACACACAACACACACAACACACACACACACACAACACACAACACACACAACACACACAGCACAACACACACAACACACACAACACAACACACACAACACACACAACACACACAACACGCACAACACACACAACACACACAACACACACAACACACACACAACACACACACACAACACACACAACACACACAACACACACAACACACACAACACACACACACAACACACACACACACACAACACACACAACACACACACAACACACACACACAACACACACACACAACACACACAACACACACAACACACACAACACACATAACACACACAACACACGCACAACACACACACAACACACGCACAACACACACAATACACACACAACACACACACACAACACACACACACACCACACAACACACACAACACACACAACACACACAACACACACAACACACACAACACACACAACACACACACACAACACACACAACACACACACAACACACAACACACACACAACACACACACACAACACACACAGCACACACAACACACGCCGCAGCACGGCTTTTTCTTTGGTCCGTTGGATGCAAAAACCAGTCAACGGGGTGCTCTTCGCCAGCTAACACGCAAACACGCAAGAGCGCAAAAGGCGCAAACACGCAAACGCGCAAGCACGCAAACAGGCAAACACACAAACACGAACACATATCCACACAACCACGCCACCACACAACCACACAACCACACCACCACACAACCACACAAACACACAAACACACAAACACACAAACACAAACAAACACACAAGCACACAAGCACACAAGGACACACACACAACACAAGGGTGCGCGCACGCACAAAGACAGACAAGCGTAAAACACATACACAGACCTACCTTTACATGCGCAAACATGCACAGTCATACAGAGACACAATCTTTATAGCTTGTCCCAGGCCCTTGATCGCATCAAGAGTTTTTGCTGCACCCTGTTCCTTTCCTAGTTTCGAGGGCTTTTTGAGGGATCGCCCACGCAACCAACTCCATCGAACAAATCGACGATGCCTCAAGAGTCTCACATGCCAACTGTGTAGCTGCTTGAGGGCAGACATGAGGCGCGCAAGCGAGCCCATGCCCAAAGTCAAGTCGCCTTGCGAGAAAAGAACAACGTGCTTCTAACCTCTCTCTCTCTCTATATGTATATGTGCACATGTGCAGACATACAGGTGGAGATATGTGCGCATGTTTGCAGCGGTTGGTTCATTGCAGTATGCACGCCCGTGTCGTTTAGGGATTTGGCATTAGCAAATGCTCAACAAGTGTGTGGCCGTGCCGCACATCAATCACTATATTTGTTTCACTCTTTGCTTTTGAGTACGCATGCTACCTTGATGAAGGTTCACCATCCCTTCTCAGATTCTTGGTGGCCGCTTCATGTTTAAAGAGCAACCCAAAATGTAGTTTGTGTTTTTAGGGCATCAACATTTAAGTGCTGATTGCTTGTCTCCCCCAACCAAAATCCGAGCCAAAATCCGAGTGGGTTGTGCTTTGACGAGGGAATCATGGCCATGTCTCAAATGGGCCCTGTCAATAGTAGAGCCTGGAGAGCATCCCCAGAACATGCATCTCCTGTGATGGTCCTGCGCGTCGGGCGCAAGTGCCCGGCTGCATCTGGGTGATAAAGTCAGAACGGCTGCTGCGGCTGACAAGGACTTCGGCCGACCTTGTTTCGGATGTCTTTGAGAAACCCGTTGTATAAAGCCTACGGGCGCACACGCACAGGGGCGCATACTCACATGTGTCAACTTTCAGCTTGGTTTGCCCTAGCGTTGATTGTGTGATGAACGCCCCGAACCTTCAATCCTCGAGCAATCTGGGCGAGCCCCTGTATTTGCATCATGGACTCCCGACCCCTCAGCTCTTGGCTTTTGCAGGTCAAATGTGCGACCCCACGCAAAGGTTCTCCGCTTGGCGGCTTGGCCTGTTGCGTCGCACCAATTTGCACAGGAGTCCTCATCTTCCAGCAAGCACGCCGGCGCCCAAAATGCTACCCCGTTCAGATAGACTTGGTTTTCGCCACACAAATGCCCGCCCCCCCAAAAACAACCCAACCATTTTCACACTGCCCGCCCGCCCGCCCCCCCCCTAAAAACCAAAAAGAAAACAAAGAAAAAAAAAATCCCAACCATTTTTCCAACATTTCCCTTCCCCGAGCCCACACCTCCGCCTCCGCCGGTGGCTCCTCCACGCGGAGGAGCTGCCGGTGGCGGCGGAGCTGCGGTGCCTGGACGGGCGGCGGTTGGGCCTCGCCTTCCGCGCGGACGGGGCGGTGGTGGCCGTGGAGCCGGGCGCCGCGGCGGGGAGGTTGCGGGGGGGGGGGGTGGCCTGGTTGGGGGGGTTGGGGGTTTGGGTTTTTTTCGGGGGGTTTGGGGGGTTTGGGGGGTTTGGGGGATTTGGAGGAAAAATGCAGAGGTGTGGTGGGTTTGTCAAGTTGCTCTGGTGTTTGGAAGGATGGATGTGCATATTTTGAGTTTGTTTGTTTCTCGTTTGAAACTTGCATGTCGTCTTTGTGCAGGTCTGGTTTTCGGAAGGGCGGCGTGGCAGAAAACGGGAGTCTAGGAGCATATTCAGGGTTTTCAATTAGAAGGATATCAGGGCTGCTGTTGTGACCTTGGTGCTCGGTGGGTTTTGAGGATTCATACTCTTTGCCCTTGACGCTGTTGCGAACTCCTAGTCCCTGCCCTGGCAATCAAGGTCATCTCTGCTATGAATTGGGCTGGGTATGCCCTCTTCACGCCATTTTTTTTGGTTGCCGCTCTGTCTTAGCTTCAAATATGACATTTTCTTGTTTAAAGGCAAGCGAACAGAACAACCGACAAGAGCGTTGCGTAAGAGCCAAAGCGAGCCGCAGCATCGGCACTACTTGTCAAGGGAGTTGAACACATTGCATGGAGAGAGCGACGGAGAAAGCTGAACGGCGCAGTTGACGGCATTGAAGCATTTTCGCATTTCCAGCTAACGATGGGTATGTTCTATCCCGGCCTTGTATGCCCATTGCATTATATATCCAGTGACTGAAGCCTTGTTGTTCTGAGGGTGCACCGTCTGACCCTGGCTTCAAGGGACACCAAAGGAACACTTTTTAATGGGGCTCCTCCAGTGTGACACTTTTCAACGCATGCCACGGGTTTGAGGTAGCTGGGCGGCCGAGAATGGCATCCAGGCACCTATCGGATTGGGAGGGGTTCATGAGAATCGGTTGGTTGGTTGGCTGGCTGGCTGGCTACTTGGTTGCTTGCCTTGCTTGCCTTGCTTGCTTGCTTTGCCTTGCTTTGCCTTGCTTTGCTTTGCATTGCATTGCTTGCTTGCTTGGTGGGTGGGTGGGTTGGTTGTCTTGGCCGTAGGGAGGCGTGTGGGGGGGCGGGGAAGGGATCTGTGATGTTGTGACGGGAGTCCATGAGCCTCTGATCAGGTTTGCTTTTGAGCACCTTGGCGACAGCCTGAATGGGGGCGCTCTCCCACATTGTCGGAGATCAATCCCCTGAGAAAAGAATTCAGACTCAAAGGGCAAACCGGATTGCAGGCTTGAGGGCCTGGAACAGGAAACAGTGAAACGGTTTGCAGTTGCAGCGCCCGCGCTGGGTTCGAAAGGCAGGCGCGTGTTCTATCAACCATCATTTTGTGGATGCCACCGCCCACGGCGTGAGAGTTGCGCTAGAAGGGACCTCTCCCTAACCTGCCCGATGCCCGCCTACACAAGCCAAATCCAATGCAGCCGACCAATCAACCCGGCGCCCGCACAAGACCGACCCACCTCAGCTCAGCCCACAGCCCGCACTTACGGCAGGTGCCCTTTGTGGATGGGAAGCATTCTGAAGTTGTGAGGTTTATCCTTGGCTCCGAAAACGCCGCAGGTGGGGGACGAGGTCATGGCCCTCGACGGACGCGCGGTGGCCGACTTCGCGGAGGGCGCCGCCAGCGGGGACTTGGACGGCGGCCTGCGGGGGCCCAGGCGCCTGGTGCTGCGGTTCTGGGCCACGCAGGCGGAAACGGGCGGGGGACTGGGGGCGGGGGGCGGGAGGGGACGGGAAGGAAGAACGTCACTTAGTAGCTTTGCGGCGCATGGGGCTTGAAGCCATGGAACCATTGCTTCCCATAATCTTTTCTTCCTGTAGGTATTGGTTTTTAGATGCACGAACTTTGCCATGGCGCACACAAGCAAATATAAATATATGAATATTATTATATACATATATATATATATATATATATGTACACACATAACAAGGTCGTATGTTCTCATGGAGGGCAGACACGCCCTTTTTGGTTGGCGCAGTCCTCGGCCTTCCGAGGACGACCTGAAAGTGGCGGTGCGGACAGCAGTCCTGGCGAAGCCTCTGGCCCAGAAGCGGCTGGAGTTTCAGAAGGCTCGCAGGGCTTTTCGCTTGGCCGAGGGTCGAGGGTGAGGATGTGCAGTAAGGGAATGGATGGATGGACGGACGGACGGACGGATGGATGGATTGATAGATGATCCAAATACCGCAGTTGCCGGCAAGTTATTTTGTTTTGCTTGTTTTTCTTTTGGAGGGGGCATAGGGTAGGGCGAACTTTCCGGCGGAGAAGAACTTGGGAGCCAGCCACCCAGCCACCCACCTACCCATCCAGCCACCTCAGCCAGCCACCCAGCCACTCAGCTGCCGACCCAGCCCCCCCGCCACACGCCGGAGCTTCCGTGCTTTGAAAGGCTGGAATCTTGTATCATGTATGATTCCACGATGCAATTGCCATGACTCTTCACCCACCCACCTGCCCGCCCGCCCACCCACCGCATTGCCGAACTGCCAAATTCATGTTAATGGCAAGCGCGCCTTTTTTGGAAAGTGAGAAGGGCAAAACAGCAGCCAAATGCCGGCATTTCAAACCCATCAAAGTGGGGATTATCGGAAAGCCCCGAGTTTAAGCTTTCTAATCTTGGGCCATTCCTCATATTGTTTGCTTCCTGCACGCTTTTTTTTTAAGGGAGGGGGCACGTCATGCCCCCGGTAGGCCACAAGCTCCCGCTACCCGGTCCATGTCGGCTGGTTGGAAGGCCCTGCGCGCGGAGGGCCGGCGCTTCGCCTTCCGCGAGGCCTTGCAAAGGCGGGGGAACCGCTGGGGACTCTCGGGGTCGGGCTTGGAGGGTCTCCCTCGTGGGTTTTCAGGGCAATTCAAAGGGAACCGCACATAATTATATACACGTGTGTATCTATATATATATACACACGTTTATGACGATTATTAGAATTTTTCATTTTCCTTGATATATGTATACACACACACATACCCACGCCCACACGCACACGCATGTGAAGAGCGTTCTTCTCAGGCGTGTGTTTTGTTGAGGGTACCCCTTTTCAGGTTTGTTGAAAGGGGAACCAAAAGGAAAGCCACCATTTTCGTGGGTTCCAATTTTGGCGTTTGCCCACGTATGTTGGACGCTGCCGGCGACGGCTGTCGTCCAATCTACGCGTGCCATGTCACGGCGGGATGGTCGTGAGCCAATTTTCCTGGGGGACGGGGGCGGGCTTCGTTTTTCCACCAAGGTACCATAAACTCTCAGGCAGGTTCCTTGGCCAAATCTCCGACCTCCGGGCCCCCTTCCGCGGAGCTTAGGGAGGCTGTGTCCCAAAAAGGCCCCTGGTTAGTTAGGCAGGGAACTTTTGGGCACGACCGCGAACAGACCAGTGTGTGCTACACGGGTTATGGTTGCCGTGGGTTCTGTTTGGGCAAAAGTGGGGGTCATGGTACGTCCCCAACGGTCCTGGCACATATGGTTTTAGGTAAGCCCACTTGCTGTGAGTGGCCACGGGGATTCCCTTCAAAGTTATCAAGTGGGCATGGTCCAGCCTGGGGGCTGCTGGATGCTATGTCCCCGGAGCTCGGCAGGAAGCGGCAGAGCAGCTAGCCGGTTACAAACGAAAATCGATTCCTTGATCTAAAGTACCATGAAGTGGGAGGCGTTTTTCAAGGTTGGCTTCAAAACCTTCCTCTCAGCTTTTGATCTTTTAGGGGAATCCAACAGGCAACCACCGTTCGCCCCTGGAGCCAGGCAGCTGGCGCATTGGCGGGCGCGGGACACCTGGCCGCTGCCGGGCCTGGCGCTGAGCTCCGTGGACTGCGGCGCGGAGCTGGCACAGCTGCTGGGCCAAGGTGCGGCGCCCGGCCGGGTTGGTGCGGGATGGTGGGGGGTGGAGTGGGCGACTGGTTTGGGCGAGGTCCACGTGCCTTTTTGTTTGTTTGTTTTGTTTTGTGGTCCTTGCGGGCAAAAGAGTGTTCGACTGACTCCTGGGTTGTTAATTTGTTCTTTTGGGGGAGGGGGGACGGCCTTGCTCGAATCTTTGTCGGGCAATCACTTATTGTGTTTGGTTTTCTGGCTCTGGAGCGCTTTTTGTGGGTCCGTATGGTCAGCGACCTATGTTGTGGGCAACAGGACAGCCGCTGGGGCCTGGTAGGATTTTCCAACTTCGGTGAATCAATTCAAGCTTGGTTTCACTCAAGCCACAAGCAACTGGAGTTGTGCAAAGATACGGAAAAATACCCGGACCAGTTGGTAGGATGTTGGTTGCTTTTAGATTATGCGGCCAGGCAGTACACCCACTCAGTGAACCTACAGCCATGGCTTTAAGGGTGATGCAGTTGGGTGAAGGTAGGTGGTGTAACCTTCTATTTAGGTGTTATCACTCTTTTACAGACCCGGGGTTTGGGTCTTGTCGGATTCCCTCAGCTTGTGGTTTGGATTGGTTTGAGGACTTGAGGTGCCTCGGTTCTTGTAGGAGGTACGCGGGACCCCAACCTGCAAGGCACCAATCCAAATCGCCAAGAGCTGATTCTAGAGGTGTAGAAGGCCCACCAGGGTTCACAACGGGTTTGGCAGGTCACCGAGGCGATTACCGGGGTCCGCGGATTGGGGAGATGGAGGCGGCGGCGCGCAAGCTGCAGGCGGATATTGTTTTTTTGGGGGAGAGTGGGGATGGGTTGGGGGGTTTAAAGCTTTCCCTTGGCGTTTAACAGTCGAAGCGACTTGCCTTTTGGGGTCCAACTAGATGCTTTGCCGCATTGGGATGTTCAACGTAAGCAAGTGGCAGGAGTCAAGAGGGGAAAGACCCTGCCTGGCGTTGGCAGATTTGGCCTATTCCTTTTTTTGTGCAGGGGGAACTCTGGTGGTTTCTCCCGTGGCAACTGCAGGGCTTCGTTTTTGCCCGTTTTTGACTGGGTTCCCTTGGCAGCAGACAATTTGTCGAATCACAACTCCGAAAGAGTCCCCAATTCCACGTTTCGAGCCTTGCGGGGAAATGGGTTCATCTTAGCTTAGAATTCGGGAAACCGCCCACAAAATGTGTTGTTTTCCTGGTTTTCCCCTCTTTCCACCAACCTCCCCAACTTTGGAGGCGATGTTCCGTTGGCGGAAGCTCTGGAAGGAGCTGGACACCTCGGAGGAGACTTTTTGCCCATGCATGGGAAATAGAGCAGCATCGTTCGAGCTGACGAGAACTTTGAGAAGTCTATGACAAAAGTTAAGCACTTTTGTTCTCTCCGAAGATAAAATTACACATATATATATATGATGGTGTGCGCCCGTCGGCTATCTGCAAAGGGAACTGGGGCCTCACGAGACCACACGCCAAAAAGGAAACCCCCGGAGACTTGCCATGGCTCGGGAGGAGCGGCGCAGGGCCTTGGAGCGCCAGGCACGGGAACCCAAGGCCAAGGTGCAGCGCAGGGGGCTGGCGGCGCAGCTGGACATCTCCGAGTCGGAGGAGGAGGTGGGGAGGGGGGGGGGGGGCAGTGGGGGGGGTGTTTTGGGGTGGGGGGGGTGGGGGGGGTGGGGGTGCGGGTGGGTGCAGGTTAGGTGGGGTGGGTGCAGGTTGGTGTGGGTGGGTGGGGTGGAAAGGGTGTGGTTGGCGTCCAGACATCGCTTTCCAACTTTTTGGGTGGACCTTTCAAATCTACCAAACACCAGGTGCCCGTTCTTTCCCCATGGGAAGTCCACGTGCTTCTCATGGGTAGCTTGATCCGTGCTCTGAAGCCCCACCCTCCACAGTTGGGATGGGTTCTGCCACAGGTTTCGAGCTTGATTCTGGGGGTAAAGATTCGCCAAGATGAACGCCTTTGGGGGAGCCAAGTCGTAATTCAGGTCTTGGAATTATTGTAGCAAAGGCAGGCGGGTTTTCAGCCCGACTTGTCACAGGGTGAAAGTAGAATTTGCTTCTGTCCCCCGGAGGGCCATCCACACCTGCCTCCCCACTCAAGCGCTTTGAGGGTGCATGAAAGTTTCTTTTTTGTAGCAGGGGATGCTTTTGCAAATGTAATGGAAGGTTGGACAGGTCCAGGTAGAGATACAGCTGGCCGGCTAGGGGAGCTTTTGTTTGGATAGAAAGTCCTGGAAAGAAACAGAGGGTGCCGCAAGAGGCAAATCAATCACCGGGAACCTCGAGAGGAAGCCACAACGTAAATCGCCGCTTCCCAGACTCAGACTGTACAAGGGTGGTCCTTGTTTCCAATGGTTTGGCCACCCAAGCCATTGTCAGACCACATTGCGGGTTTTGCACGCCAAGTTTGGCGCGCCTCCCGGCACCTTTCAGGTGAGTGCCGAGGAGGCAGTGGCGACGCCTTTTTTGGAAGCTGCCGAAGAGCCCGATGAAAAGAGCGAGGAGGAGGCTGCGCCGGTGGTGCAGCTGCACAAGCCGCTCGGATGGCACTTTGGCAGCTCCTTTTTTGAGCTCCCTCCAAAGACTATGCAGGTGGGTGGGCAGGGGGGGGGGTGGGAGGGGTTGAGGGGTTTGCAGAAGCACAAATTGTTAGATTGGTTTCACGAATCTCAGGGGGTCGCGTCTTTGATGTCCTGTAGGTTGGGTGTATCATGTAGCCGTGTTTGTCTCACGACACAGATGTTGCAACTTCTTGCAGCTACGCCTCTGATCCCATGCTTGTCAGCTTGTTGGAAACTGCGCGCACACATCCTGGATGCTGCCCCGGTTGTTGCAAGAAAAAGCCGCATCAACCATAGAGTTCAGAACCAACCACCACTCTTCACAAGCATCCGCCCTTTGCAAAGGCTGGTCACCCCATATTTATGACAAAGAAGCTGGCTGAAGCTGCTGCACTCGAAAGGGCACCCTTGGCACCCGAATGTTTTTACAACAAGAGTTCAATCGAACAAGTTTCTCCCTTTTTGCAAGTGACGGCGTTTTTCATCCATACTTCCGGTCTTGATACGGCCATGAATTCTAACAGGGAACCGCCTCAAAAGTGATTGGCGGACTCGACTCCCCACCCAAATTATGTTCACCGGTTCGGTTTCTACTATGTTGTTGGTGCCCCTGAATATCAGTGGACACCTGTTTCGTTGCCTTGCTGAGTCAAGTTTTTGTGGACGCAACGGCAGAGAGAGAGAGAGAGAGTTCGGGTCCCTTATTTGGCTTCATACCCTTGTTTTACCCTTGTTTTGGAGAGGGTTCCCCCACTAAAATTACTACAGAAACAAGGGCACCCTTCTAACATCCCTATTGGGGGGACCTAGTTAAACTTCATGCCCGTTTTTGGCTCTCCACATCGCGCCCAGGAGCCAGCCGGGGGAGGAGGCCCGCCCGGGCTCGCCGCTCTCCGGGCCGCAGCTGGACTTCCTGGGGGACAGCGCGGCGGATACGAAGCCCAGCCCCAGGGCGCCGGTGGGGAAGGCGGGGACGAGAATCTTCAAGTTGGGAGCTTTACCGTTGAATTTGCTGAAATCAGCTCCTTTTGCATTTTTTTTTTTTTTTTTTTTTTTTAGAAAATTCAATAAATAAAACAAATAAAACTAAACAATAATAATAAATAGGTTTCCTTGTTGCTGTTGCGCGGATGGTCCTTGCGAAGCTTCCGATTGCGTCCGGCAGAGCCGGAGCCAAAGGTTTCCTTGTATCAGCTCCTAAAGATTTTCTGTTGCACCCTGAAGTTCGTTCTTGGGCAGTTTCTGAGCAACAAAAGTTGGCAAGATGCATGCTTCGTTTGGAATGTCGGGTGGTAGGGATGGCGGATACTCTCAGGGTTAGGCTTTAGCAGTCCTTGCTTGCTTGTACGTGGGTTGCTCAGCATGTTGGGTCGGAAAAATCAAATCTTCGCCCAGCTTTGGGCTTCCGTCTGCCCCAAGGTGAAGCTGCACAAGACGCTTCCAGGCAGCGCGGGTCTCTACGACGAGCCCGACACGGCGCCCGAGGCGTCCGCGTCGCCCGCGTCGCCCGCCGACGCGGCGCCGAGCACCCGGGGCTTTTTGGACGACGCGGCGCTGGAGGCCGGGGTTGGGGGAACTTCATAGCCAGGCCCTGGGCGCCTAAGGAAAGCCAGAAGCCAAGAGGGCTTGTTAGAAGATCGGACATCTACACAAAAGCCCGGTGTTCATAATACAGGGCTCAAAAGAAATTTAGATTAAAGCTCATTCAACGAACGTGGCTTGGCCCCACACAAGCATCCATTCCTCGAGCAGGGCGTTGGCAACCTAACCCAGGCCGCGGCCGTGCGGATCCAGGCGGTGCAGCGGGGGCGCCAGGCCGGGTTGCTGGGGGCCGGATTGGGGGTGTGGTTGTTGGTGGACATATCCAGGGGTTTCACCCCTTGAAAGTTGCACAAACATGATCCATCCTTGAGCACCCCCCCCTTCCCCCCCATTTTTTGAGCCGCTGTTGTGAGCCACTGTTGTTTGAACATGCTGTTGCCCATTGTGACTGAAGCATCCTGATTTGTGTTAACACGTACCGTGCACAAATTTGTTGGCCAATCTTAAGCTTTAAATGGGTAGGGTAGAGGAATCATCACTTGATTCACAGGTCCCTGTAGAAAAACTACTTTCCTGTTGGAGAGGGGGTGGCGCACTTCCATGCTGGTTGGTGGGAGGGTAAGGCTTCCCTTTGGTGCAAGGGGCCATAGAATTTGGTCGCTTGGCCGCTGCGGCATCCCCAGGGCCGCAAGCAAGCGAAAGCGAAGGCTGCCCGCGGCCGTGTGAGCGACAGAGGGCCTGACGAAGCACTGGAGGTTGACCAAGTGGAGGTGGGCGTTTATGAAAATATAGAAAACTGGTTGGTTTCTTTTGAAGCCCCTGGCGCCTGGAGTCTCATATCTTGTTACTGAAGTGAAGGTATTTACGATTCTATCTTCCCGTTTTACATGTGTAACTAGCTCGATATTCATGTGGAAATCCATAACAAGTGGCTTCTCCCATTGCAGGGTCACCTCCAGGCGCCGGCTCTGAGCTTCATGGGCGCGGAGGTGGATTTGGACCCCAGGGGCCGGGGGCTGGAAGTAGGGCCGGAGGCAAGCACGCCAGCTTTTCCCCTGGAAGTTGTGGTGCCGGAAGCGCCGAAGGAGGAGACCAGCCGGGTGGAACCTGAGACGGCGCGGAGCCTTTTCGGTATGGCGCTGGGTGCAGAGGTAGCCGAGGCGCCGGTGGCGGTGGAGACGGTGGAGGCGCCGGTGGAAATGGCGCCCGCTGCGCCGTCCACGCCGAGAGCGGCGCCCTTTGCAGTGGCCGAGGCTGAGGTTGGGGATCCTTACGTTTCCTGTTTTGTGGGGATGTTTTGGGAAGGCCACTCTAAACATGGAAGGCTTCTCTTTAGTGGGGTGATGTTTTAAGGTCGCAGGGAGCCCTGCAGGCGCCGATTGCGGTGGGGGGCTTCATGAGCCCCAGCCCGGCGCCGTTCGACGCGCTGGAGGTGCGCAGCGCAAAGAAAGACAAGGAGGAGGACGAGCCTCCGCAGAATCGCCTGGACTTCCTCCACGAGGAGGTGGGGTGAACTGGGGCTTGTGGCTACACGTCCGGCCCAAGATGGCTGCCTTGGTGCATGTTGGGGTTGGTATACGGGGCAATTGGCTTCCTTCCCCAGTGCCATCAACCCACCAACCTTGACCTTGATCATTTCAACTAGCCCAGTCAACTCAACTTTCTGGTCCTTTCACTTGTGAGTTCCTGCAAGCTGCAAGAAGCCAGGATGCCACTCTGGTGCCGCAGCGCCTCAAGCTCCCGCGCCCCAAGAAGAAGAACCGCGAGGAGAAGGTGACGTTGGCCGCGCCCTCGGCGCCTTCCGCTTCCGCGCCTGCAGCGCCTGCCGCGTCCGCCGCCTTTGACCTGGGCCCCAAGCCAGCGCCGGCGCCAGCGGCGGGGCTCTTTGCGGACGCGGACGTGCAGGTGAAGGCGGGAAGTCGCCGGTTTGGCCAGTTCAGGGCTCTTGGTCCAGTGAAGGCTCCAAGTCAAGGAGCCAAGGCGTGCTCACCCAAACCTGGGCCAAACAGTGATAAGTAAAGCTGTTTTGTTGCATGAAGTTGGTGCTGCGGACAGGTGAGTTAGGGTTTCGGGTGGGCTTCCCTGCCCCAAGCCGCCGTCCAGGTGAGAGGCGGTTGACGCACGATTTCTGAAATAAGGGACTTTTGTGTGAAACGCACAACCCCAGCTGCCCCACCTTGAGCAAAACTGGCACCCCCACCCCAAAACCAGAACAAGATGAATATTGAGGGGATCTGAGGGTGCCTCCTGTTCCGACCGCAGGCCCAGCCCAAAGCGGCGAAGGAACTCAGCGGCGCGGACGCCCTGGGCGCGTCGCCCCGGGCGCCGTTGCAGGCGCAGGGCGGGTTTCGCCTGCCCAAGGGGGAGAAGAAGGACAAGGAGGGGCCAAATCTGTGCATTGTGTTTGTATGTGCGGTTTTGTTTTGGTTTGGTTTGTTCTGTTTGGCTTTGATTTGTTTGGCTTTGATTTGTTTGGCTTTGGTTTGTTTGGCTTTGGTTTGTTTGCATGGCTTCGCTTTGCTTTGCTGGTTTGCTGGTTTGCTGGTTGGCTGGTTGGTTGGTTGGCTGGCTGGCTGGCTGGCTGGCTGGCTGGCTGGTTGGTTGGTTGGTTGGTTGGTTGGTTGTTTGGCTGGCTGGCTGGCTGGCTGGCTGGCTGGCTGGTTGGTTGGTTGGTGGGTTGGTGGGTTGGTTGGTTGGTCGGTTGGTTGGTTGGTGTGTTTCTTGTTGTTCCCCCTGTGTTTTGTGATGTCGTGTGCTGCTTTTTGAAGGGAGCTCTGGTGGCTGAGGGGTTTTGTGATGCCATACGCTGCCTTTTTGAGGAAACGCTGGTGGCTGAGTTTGTGGCAGCAGTCAACTGCAACACGTGTAATACCGACTTAAGGAGTTCATTGCAGAAGGTAGAGAAGGCCGACAATTTACCTCTCTGCCTCTCAGCCTTTCTTTCTTTCTTTCTTTCTTGCTTGCTTGCTTTCTTTCCTTGTTTCATTCTACCTATCCATCTATCTTTCTGTCCCTCTCTCTCTCTCTCGCCCTCTATCTCTACTCTCGCTTTCCCTCACTGTAGGTTGAACGTGCATGTAGATGGTACATGAAGCTATGGATATGTCAGATTTGCACACAACCAAATGATTTATTCATAGGCTGGAGGTGCACACTGACACCGCCGAAGTAGCCTCAGCAGGATCAAGCATCAGCCAGTTGTGGGCCCTGCGCAGGAGGAGAAAAAGGAGAAGAAGGAGAAGAAGGACAGGGTTGCCGCATTGGCCGTGATGATCTCACACATGCGTTGGGGTGATGGGGTTGACTTGCTGTTTAGCTGTGATCGGTTTGATATTTTTGCGGAGGGTGAAAGACTCCTGGAAGGAAAAGGATGAGAAGAAAAAGAAGAAAAAGAAGAAGGAGGAGTCTGATTTGGATGGTTTTGGCCTCTCACTGTTCTAGGGTAGGTTGCCTTGAGCCAGCTCGCAAAGCGTACGGTTTGCAACTTACATCCTGGTGTCAAGCAAGCTTCTCATGTACATAGCTGCCACCAAAGGTGACATTATTGCGCGCGCCATGTGCGCCCCCTGCGGCGAAAAAGAGTTTGCACCAAATCTGCGTTACAGGCTTGTGGGGAAGCCGGACCCCTTCATCCACACCTAATACACACCTGGAGACAGCCGCCTGTCGCAACCTGGAAACATCAGCGCGCCACCGGCTGCCTGGCTGCGCGGCCTGGCGGCCTGGCTCAGCCGCCTCACGGCGCCATGCACCTTACCCCCACCTTATCATGAATCCCTTGCCATGGCTGGGGCTCTGGGCGGTTCTCACCGACGCACAGGAGACTCGGAGAGCGGATAGAGCGGACGAAAACTCCGCAGTGCGAAACGGTTGAGCGGTTAGATGCCGGCAATTACAGGCTGGAAGGCCAAAATGTGCTGAAGGTCATCAGGGCTGAGGTGTGCAGGTGTCATGGGAGTTTTTTGCATTTTTTTTTTTGGGGGGGGCTCAGCTTCCCAAAATGCAAGCTTTTCTTACGATTGCTTCTGGCATCCTTTGGGCCACATTGTCAATGGCAATCTGCAGGAGTCTACTTCGCCTGTCGCCACTGAAGAAGGGCTCACCCAGAAAAGCACCACCAAAATCCTAAAAAAGGTGGGAGAGAATACTGACCGTGGCTCACATTTCTTTCTTTGAGCCACGGTCCACTGGACTGCCAGATGTCCCGCAGGAATGAAGCCATTCCCCGAAACTGAGTTCGTCGCTTGCGTTCCTTGGTTCTCCAAGTTTAACTTGGAGAACCAAGGAACGCAAGCGACGAACTCTTGCAAACAACAGGCGGACCTGCATGTTACATTCTCGTTCCCCCCCGGAGGGGGGCAAAGGCTTCGGGCGAAGTTGCGACCATTTGTACCAGGATGAGGTGTGCCATCCTGTGACGAGCCGTCAGCTGCTGCAGACGTCCAGGGCGCAATCCCGGCCGCTAAGAGAAGATACAGGAAGTCGGGGAGAGGGGCAAGCAACCAGCCTGTCGTTTGTTGCGGCATGCATGTTGCAAGCAAGCAAGCAAGCAAGCAAGCAAGCAGGCAGGCAAGCAAGCAAGCAAGCAAGCAGGCAAGCAGGCAGGCAGGCAAGCAAGCAAGCAAGCAAGCAAGCCACCAAACATGGTTAACTGGAGGGTTTCTCGTGGTTCCTGCTTGGCATTAAGGTACGATCTGGATCTTGCAAAAATGCCGTCCAAGGAAAGTTTGACTTCGTTCCCGGTCCCGGTTTTTGAACACGATTTCCACCCTTTGAAGAATGGAGGTGAGGGGAGGGGGTGCCCGCCCTAAGACTCCTATTAGTGCATTTTCTCCCTTTGGGCAAGCACGCGAAACAGAGCTGGGGAGCATTACCCGGTGTGGTATGAACATGAGAAGCCGAACAGACCCGCCGAAGGATATTCGAGCAACATGACCATTGGGTGGATGACCTGAGAGGAGCGTTGCACACGGCTTGATGCAGTCGGACTGTGATTGCACAAAATGATGGATGAACCCCATGCATGCTGGGTGAAGCATGGATGAAACATACCAACCGGTGAAGGACTTGGTCCTTCCACATCAGGTGGGTCTAACTTTCATCCAAGCACAACACCTTTGAAAACTTGGCTGTACCTCTGTGGGTTGGACACTTTCGGACCTTGGTATGGCGCATAGCTTGCAACGCTATACAAAGAAGCATCACCTCGACATTTCTGGGAACCGGGCTCAAGCTGCTTGCTAGCCTCTTGCTTGCAACTCTATGGCCCTACTTGGAGGGAGTTCCATCCCCAAGCCCCGAAGTGCCTAACCCCCTAGAGATTCAGCTCTGAGAGAGGCCGTGGGATCAGGTCGCAGCGATCCCCCGAGTTCCACTATGAGCCGGAGTCCATGTGGGGCCTGGATTGGAATGCCTCCTGGGCGCTGGTGAGGAACTCCAGCGGATGCTTCCTGAGACGCTGGGCGATTGGGTCGGTTTGGGGCACCTGGCCGCCGAAAGGTTGTTCTGGGAGCTTCGCGCCTGCTGCTTTTCTTTGCCTGGACGCACGCTTTGCCGCCAGTTCAGGTTTGCCATTTCGAACATGCTCTCGCGGAAACTGCGGGGGAGGGTCGGGACGATACCAGTGAAGAGGACTTATGTAGACGGCGCTGGCTCTTTGGCAGGGACCAACTTTCGGTCCGCTTCTTCTCAAGTAAGCTTCCTACGTGGGTTATAACCATGGTGACCAGCCTGCCCCTTCAAATTGAGGGGACACACCCGGCTTGAGGCTTGAGGCGAGGGGTGGCCTGCAGAATGGGCATTTCAATGCAGTTTAAGGGAGGTATCTCATATATATGTTGTTGCATCTCTGCTTGGAGATGCGTTTGTTGGGCCATTTTCCTGCATCTTGCTTAAATCACATTTCGCCCTTGGCATATACAGGGATGTGGACAAGTTAGGAGAGATTGGAGAGAGCATGTTGCTTGTTGCAGCTTGTCTCTATTCTAGGCGAGCTCAGCTGCGAGAGTGTCCTTCCCGGATTGGGTTCATTGCGCCTTGCTTGGCTGTGGCGCGGCTGGTCCTTGGCTTGGCTCAGGATTCCCATCGTCATCTTCAGGCCCCGCTAGAAAGGACTGCCTTCTTGCCGCTTTCAGCAGTCGATGCCGTGGCAGAAAGAGGAGGTTTGGCCCCAAAACGGGCGGTGTCCTTGTTGCATCCATGCCGACATTGTCAATAACGGTTGCGATGAAGGAACAGAGTAGGTTCACTGTTCGGGGGAAGCCACAAAGTGGGCCATCCCAGGCCCCATTTTGAGGGGCTCCAAACGGAAGCAATCCTTTGGGTCTGGAGATGCATTAGCGTTACTCCTGGCCTCAAGAAAGTGTTCAGATTCTCACCGTTTCTTTTGAAAGCATGCACCTGCCTCAAGGCCCCTGGGTGAGAAGCTCTCTCAGGGCACCGATTTGTCAGTTTTTCTGGAATGGGCCCAGCCTTCAAGCAGAAGATCTCGCACTCGGGGCTACGTGGTGCCATAAGTCCAAACCTGGGGTTTCCCTTTCACTTGTCTTGTTGGGACTCCCCTTTTGATTCCTAGCATTTTCGGGGTGACTTGCATGGCGAGAAATCCGGGGCAGGAGTCCGCGCTGTCCCTGGGCCGCTGCCTGGAGCGCGCGGCGAGGCGCGGCGCACGCTGGCGCGTGGATTTGGGGCTGCCGGCCACGGGGAATCGGCGACACCCAGGCCGGCGCGGAGGGCAGGGGGGGGGCAAGGGGGGAGGGGTGTCGAATCGGGGGGGGGGGGGGGGGCAGGAGGCCGAGTTTGAAGTGACGTTTAAGGGACACGTGCCGCCTTTTTTGTTTTCACGGATGGACTTTTAATATTTTTTGGGAGAGCCGTGAGTTTTTTTTGGAACATTTCGGCGGGGAGATAAAAGTGCCTTGAATAAAAAGGGCACCCCGAGCAAGAAGCAAACAGCAAACGGTGTACTTCCGGACTTGCAACTGATTTTTTGCAGCAGCGCTGTCCCATTGGCAATCTCTCTGGCAAGTGCGAGCGGCTATTAGAAATAACTTCCTCACGTCGACCACAGTGTCAGAAGCACTGTCTTGCTTCCCAAGTCTGGACTTAGATTTGCATACTGCTTGGGACTTTTTTCTTCGGGCGGTCAGCGGAAAGTTCGGCCTGGTTGGGGCCACTCCACTGAGGAAGTGAGTAATTAGCTGTTCAACATCTCTTTAGAAGGATCTCCTGCATATCCTGCGGGCCCATTGACTCTTTGTCGTGTTGAAGGGGCCCCCGTTTCGGGTGGGCGCACGGTTTGAAGCAGCCATACCATGGCCCGCTTGGGCTACTAAAGCCGCTCGAAGCCATCAGACTTACCTTGAACCCCTTCCCAAACAGTCCACTCCCGGAAACCCTCCCCCGAAACCGTTTTTTTTTTTTTTTTTGCGCCAAAGCCGAACGGGCACTGGGAACTGGACGGGCACCGAGGCACCAACCCGGCACTGGTGCCGCTGCCTTCGCACCTTCAAAGTGCCTTCCCCGAGGGCAGGTGGCTGGCCGCTCGGCAAGAGACGAGCGCGGGCGGGGGGGGGCGGGGGGGGGGGGCGGGGGGGGTTCTGGGGAACGGGGGGTTGAGGTATTGGACATGGTTTCATTGATGTCTTGGAATTTGAAAGTTTTGGGGTTTGATGTTTTGGTATTCAGAATCACCCCCTCTTACAACTCCTTTGGTTTATTGCCTGTATTGAGAGATGGCACATCTACTCCGAATTAGTCCCTTGGCCGGACCTGCCGAAGAAAGCCAGCTCAACCTGAGGTCGTGAACCGAGTGGGCTGGGCACGGTGCCCGGGGATGAACGACTTCAAGGGCTCCATCTTCGCGTTCCTCGGCAACCTCTGGGGCTCCGGCTCCTATGCGGCCGTGCTGGATGCCGCTTGTCAGAGGCATGGCCTCCTTTCCCTCCTCAAGCGTGGACAAAACTTTTTGTTTTTTTCGGGGAGGGAGGTTTCAGGAAGTCACAGTTGACAAATATCTGCTGCAGAGAGGATTCTCAGACCTTTCTGAAAACCCCTTCTAGTTTCCAAGCAACTTTCCGAACGCGCACCTGCCCATTCGCGGGAGGGGGGGGGGTTCTCGTCATGCGCCGGTTTTGACCCGGGTATGTTTGTTATATTGTTGTGCTTGCTGCAGGCCTTAAGCTTGTCAGCTGCGTTTCACCTAGGGCCTAGGTGGACAAGTATCCGGTTCAATCCTTCAGTGCTCCAATTTTGTAGACAGCCGCTTATGACATGCTCTCACAGGTAGTTGGCCCAACCCTGCAAAGAGGAGAGGCTATGTTGGAACCTCGCGCTGGCAGTTGCGTGACGGTTGACCTGTTTCTATCTCCTGGATGGAGATACACATCATTCCTTGTGAGCTCCTTTGCATGGAGTTTCCTTTTGGAAGGGTGACATCTCCGCAGGGGGGTGGTTCAAAGCTGGATGCCTCACCTTTCCCATGAACTTCCTGCAAGGATTCACGGCACATCAAAATCGCATTCCGGGTCTCTCAGCTAAAGTGCCGATTTCCTGTAGGCTAGGGCATACTGTGGATGACGAAATCCTGCACCACCTAAGAAACCATGAGAAACCCCTGTTTGTGCGTATTTGCAGGTGAATCGTCATTCCAGGGTTTCTTAGGTGGTGCGAAATGGTTTTCGTCCATCCACAGTAGGGCCAAGGGTTTGCGTTTGCCTCAGGCGGACTTTGAGGTGCTGGACGCGGCGAAGATCGGCCTGCGCCAGGGGCGGTGGGAGAACGCCATCTCCGATGTGCGGCTTTGGGCGGATCCGGCGGGGGACCTCATCATCAGCTTCATGCCGGGGCCCTGACGGGACCTCTGCGACGTTTGTTGCGTGCCTGGGGAGGTTGAAATATGGGGTCAAAACTAATGGGATCCCATTTTGGGCTAGGTGCACCATCCATCTAGCCTATTTTAGCCTATTTTAGCGGGGATTGGGATGTTCACTGGGAGGTACGGGATTTGTGACCCATGGACAAATATGCCTCATGGAGGGGGGGGAGCTCTGCGCAAAATCCTGCGTGACAAGAATGGTTGAGTTCCCCTTGACCTTCCACCAGAGTGTCCCTTCTTGAAAACACCGCTTGAGCAGTTCGGCCACATGTTTGTCGACGCTGCTCCGGCTTGCAAAACGGGGCTGCTGGGCTAACTACGGTTCATTTGTGTTCGGTTTCGGCCGCTGTTTGGCAGCTCTGCAGCAAGATGAGGCCATACTACTTCGCCGAGCGCTTCCACAACTTTGTTGCGAAGCTTCATCTCGACTCCGAGGAGAGCAGTTCCGAAAAGACCACATCTCAAGTAGTCAACCCCAACACGAAGCCACCGAAATAGCCAGTTGCCAACTCACAGCTCCAAAATGCAAACTCCCAGTTTTCATGTTGACCCCGGATTGCTCAACCTCTGTGTATGAATGCCAGCATGTTCTTTGGTGTTAGTGGGGGTTCAGTTTTGGTGGGGCACCCCCCCGTCCCCCCCCCCCCCCCCGCCACCCAACCCCCCCCCCCTTCAAAGAAACAAGTCGCACTCACAAGTGCGAAGGCTCACCTTAGGTCCCCCCCCCCCCTTCGCCCTGCCCCACCCAACCCCCCCCCCCCCCGCCCCCGCCCCCCCGCTCCAGGCGGGGCGCCTGGAGGCCTGGGTGGACCGCCGGGAGGTGCGTCGTGCCCAGAGCTGTGGAGAGAGCGATGGGCCCAAGAAGAACCTGGGCTTCTTCGCGCTGAATGGCTCCACCTTCGCGCTGGACCCTTGGTATTGGTTTTGGTGATGATATCTTGGCTTCGCTTGTTCCGTTATTCGTCTTTTAGGAGTTCTTTTTTTTTGGTGTGTGTGTGGTCGTCCTGTTTTTGTTGGGGAGATGTTCTTTGCTTGGGAAGTTGGGACTGAAAGTAGAAGAAGTGTGGAGATGTTGCTTCTCATTTGTTTGGGCCTCAAACTCAACGTTCCTTTGTTCCTCGGATTCGTTGGGCCGTTTCCTGCGGATGCCAACAGCTTTCTTGTGGACACGCTCGGCCATGGACGGCGCGTTCAGAGTTTGGCTTCAGGTCTTGGTGGATGGGCTTCTCCCTCGTGGGTCTTTGGAGCGGTTTGCGGTTTACTTTGACTTAGGGTTTGGGATCCTGGGTTGGGGACCTGTTTGTTTGGGAGTTCCTTTTCCCATGGCAAGCCGGCTCGCATGCGTGGCAGCAAGTCAGAAGCCCGATGGTTGCCCATGCGTTTGCCATGGCGCAGGGGCAGGTCCAGCACCTTCTTGGGGCGGTTGCCACTTCAAAAGTTCTCAAGCGGTGGGAAAAGCAAAGATCCTGGAACAAGACGCTGGTGAAAATCAACGGCACTAACCCAAACATCCGACCAACTACTGGTTTCCTTGGGAGGGTCGGAGGAAAGGAGAGGAGCGCCCTCGTTGCGCAGATGCTATGGGGGTTTCCAACCCCAAACCTGTTTTAGTTTATCTCCAAGGAGAAGCCGCATGAATGAAGAGCGCCGGTGAAAGGTTAGACTTTAAACAACCTCATGAAATGCGCCCGGGGACTGGGGGAAGTGATATGCCAGCACGTCGCACGTCACCGAGGGCACCCTGTGCAACCATGTCATTTGTGCAACGAGGGCGCCTCCCCTCCTTCCCTCCTACTCTCCTACCCTCCTACCCTCCTACCCCCCTCCGCCCTCCCCTCCGCCCTCCCAGCCCCCCTCCCAGCCCCCCTCCCAGCCCCCCCCCAAAAAATAGTAAAAGGGGATTTGAAGGAACTGAAAATCATTTTACTATTTTTTTCTAACAAGCAATGAAAACACACATTGAAAAACCAAGTATCAAATAATAGATAAGGTTAATAAATCACAACCTTATTCATTCTAAGTAATTCCTAGAAAAGATACACACCTTATCCATTATTTTTTCACTACTTAACCTATTTCATTTTACTATTTGTTTACCCTTAGTCATTTTGTATTTTAAGTATTTTTCCAATTCTCAGAAACTCCAGTTGTTCTTCAGTTTTTCTTTTTACCTTATTCATTGTTCACAAATTTTTCACTCAGACTTAAAAATATGACTAAAACACATTTCACCTAATAGTTCCACCTTTCACATTTCATTATTCAGCTTTACAACTACATTTCTTTGATGCTTACTTGTTTTCTCATGCCTTGCTTTATTTCTCAAATACATAGACAAATCACACTCACTACAAAAATACAACTTATTGTTCCACTGTTTGTTCCTTTCCATTTTCTTTTCTCTATACTCTTCATCTTCCTTCCACCTTCTATTCGCTTCTGCCCTATATTCTTCCTTATGCTTTTCATAACATGTTCTTCTGTGTTCTAAACATCTATTACAGTTTTTGTTTTCACCTTCAAACTCTTCAACTCCTAATATTCTACAACACTTGGAGCACTGCCTTTCACTTTGGTTTTCCATTATTCTTATTAATGTATAGTCCTAAGTCTTTATACAGTTTTAGGACATACTCAAAAGCACAAAAAAAACAATCTTGTACAAATGATAAGTATGGATAAACAAATTCATATTGATTATGTTTGCACATGACATTGCAATGAGCTACCAGCCCATGATTGATCCACCCTTGATTAATCAACACATGATTAATCCACCCTTGGTTAATCAACGCATGATTTTCGGAATGAACATACACACCCCGTAAAATTCATGAGCCGATTCTTGAATAATCGTGCCTTGATTTTTGGGTATCCCATCATGATTAATCTCCCTTTGACTTTTACTGTGTCTTGGGCAATGGTCGGCAAACCAATGGATGTGCGCCAGACCCGTCAAAAGGAGTTCGTATTTTTTAGTGTATTGTCGTTGGATGAGCCTATAAATTTCCAGTTTGAGCCCAAACCCCAAACCCAAATCCTTAATCCACCAGACTAACCAAGATTTCACAAATTAATTCGCTAGGTATTTTATATAGGTCTTCCTGTTTATGTATTGTTGGATTGTCTCCCCACTTTTCCTTAGTGCCCGATGGAAGCCGTTGTGCAGTTTCAGTATGTTTATTATTCCTGATGTTGCCACAATCCTTTTTACATAATTCTCTAGGTTTCCAAGTTGTAATGTTATTCCAGAGCCTAGTGCGTTTTCTGTAAGGCATTCCATACTTACAGTAATCAACATCTTTAAAATCAAACTCATCCATAAACTCCTGATGTTTTAATAATCCAGTTTGTGGATTTTCGATTACAAAATATTTAGGATTGAAATATTTGATAATCTCAATGTTTTTTAAGACAATACTATTTGCATATTCGACATTCCTAATTCCCCTAGTTTTTGCTACACTATATTCAGTGCATGGGGGACTACTCCAAATAAAATCAAAATGGTTTCTGTCAAACTGTTTGTAATCCCACTCCAAAATATCAGTGTTGATATCAGCATTTTTCAAGTCTAATGATATTACATTAAATCCAAGCGACTTTGCTATGGTTCCGACGCTTTTTGTTCCGCTAAATAATTCTAATAAATTCATATTATTAGAATTACTTAGATATTAATTATTCAAATAATACATATACTCCATCATCATTTTTTGAAATTTTGTAAAATTCTAAAGTGGTGCTTTTAGGTTGTTTGATTTTTCCTGTATTCAACATATCACAGTATTTCTTTTGCTTTGTAGGGTAGTCGCCCGATGGTCTTCCTATAGATTTTGCTTGACATATCTTTTCGATTTTTTCCTTCTCCTGCTGTTCGCTTTCAACTGGTTTCATTTTGTCATCAATGGATTTAATCATATCATTTAAGTTTTTGATATTTTCACCAATTAATGTTATCTTCTTCATTAAATCATTAATAGTATAATTTTCATTTTCAGACATTACTATATATTTATTTAGATAGTTATTTATTTCATTATATATTTATAAAGTGCAATTATGTTAAATCTACTCTTTAAATACTAAATTATGTCCCTGTTAAAACTAACATTAATCAAATGTTCATTAGTTTCAACAACCATATCACCATCTGTTTTTTTCTTAATATTTAAATCCTTATCTGAGCTTTTATAAGAAAACATACAAGGAATACAACTAACCTTCACTCCGCCTTTCTTATCTACTGTCAATTCATTTTTAAAATTCATTACGTGATTACATTTATCACATTTTATAGCCTTACTTTCGCCCAGTGATTTAACACTTTCTGCTGTTTCTTTCCGTGCTTCAATATCTGGTATTGGTCTTTCTTTGCCTTTACTCTTTTTCTTTCTTCCCATTTATATTAAACATTTACATTTTTTTATTTTTGATATATTGTATTCCTAGCTTAAGTATTTCTAATGAATAATAACAACATTTCTTAATTTTATTATCAGTTATTATTACTTGTTCTACATTCTCTACTTCATCTATTATATTAATATAATCTGAATAACTCCTATTCATATAAATAATAAGATAAAATAGTTATTTAATCTTATTATTTTCATGCATGATAGAATATTCGGAGGGCACAGCACTTGGGGTTTTCTTTACAACGCATCAAACTAATTAGCTTCAATGCTTATTGATTGAAGTTGATGAAAGAGCCTGTTCTACTACGATAGTCACCATTCATATCATAGCAATGCTTTCATACAATAATTAATATTAAATTATTTTCTAAATATTTTTAATATTATTATATTATGCCTGATGTAAAACCAATTGATGAAATCAAATATGACTTTAAGCAAAGTAAGCATGAGGTTGTCCCTAAATTGCCTATGAGAGCTATGATTGTCGGACCATCTGGAAGTGGAAAATCAACTTTACTTGTATCAATGATACTTGATATTTATAGAGGAGCATTTGAAAGAATTTTTATCTGGTCTCCATCTGTAAATTTGGATAGTATTTGGTTGCCTGTTAAAAAATACATTAAGGAAGGTTTGAAAGTAGATAATGATAAAGAACCGTGTTGGTGGGATGAGTTCAATGTTGAAGATTTAGAAAGAGTTATAGAAACTCAAAATAAAATAATTGAATACCAGAAAAAACAAGGAACGAAGAAATTATTTAATATATTAGTTATATTGGATGATGTATCTGATAATCCAGCAATAACAAGAAATAACAAATTGTTAAATTCTTTATTTTGTAGAGGTCGTCATAGTGGAATATCAACACTTGTAAGTCTTCAAAAATCATCAACCGTACCACCAATTATTAGGGTAAATATAAGTCATTTGTTTTATTATAAAGTTAGAAATTTTAAAGAGATAGAAATATTGCAAGATGAATTATCAGCAATTGTTAGAAGCGATAATTTACATGAAAGCAAGAAACTAATTTATAAAATATATGAGACTGCCACTGATGAACCGCATAGTTTTTTATATATTAACCTTTTAGAAAAGAACCCAGATAAAATGTTTATGAAAAAGTTTTCTCAATATTTGAAAATTAGTAATTAAATCATTAAATATATTATATTATATGATATTTTATGATTTACCAATAGACATTAAAAACATAGTATTATCTTATAATTTAGGTGATGTTAGACTATTAAAAATAAAAAATAGTAATATGGTTAAAAATTATATTAATAAATATAAACCAGTTTACAAGTCTTACAAATTAAATAACATGCATTATGTTGAAGTTGAAAATATCAATATTAATAATGGAATATCATATATTTTTAATTTAAGTGAGTTAGATAAATTACATCAAACAAATAAACCATTAAAATTATTTATTGAATACGATGTAATTGCTACATATAACTTGTTTACT